TGACAAGTCAGTTCCTGCAAATTATAACGAATCTTTCAAAAGCTTTAAAAAAAAAAATCTATCAAATAATTCATAATTCTAGTTACATTTGGAGTCTTCGGATTGATTGAAATAGCTTGCGATAGATTCATTGAAGAGATTCCTGGTAGCCCATACTTTAAAGAAATAGAAAAATAATTGTACTCACAAGTAGAGCCCACACATTATGAAGAGCTTTATCTATGTAAAATGTAACTAATTGTTTTGACCAAGTAAATGGTTAAGAAATAACAAAACAAGTGTTGCAGATATATCATATATTAAACAGTAAGTACAACAGAAGAGTATTACTCGACTAGTGAGTGTGTGTCGGGTGACCCAGCGTTTAATCTATTCGACTGTTTCCCCAAGGCCTTCTCTCTTACTAATTTTATAGTAGGCGAAAGTGTCCAACAGACTCTTTATAAAATTGATTACAAAAATGATCAGTGTTCTGAAGAGAATTTAGGTTTCTGGTTGGGATCCAGAAGAAAATACAAGAGAAATCAAAGGAAATAATAATCATTTGTCTGTGATCTTGGGTTGTTTTATTATTTTACAAAATAGTTTATTGGAAAGGATAAAAATATATATACAACAAAAACCAGACATAGTGACCAAAGACCACAAAAACAAAATCTGCTTTTGTATTGAAATGACAGTTTCTGTAGAACGTAATTTATGTTTCAAGATCTTCAAAAACAATCAAAATACAAGGAATTAAATGTGGAAATACCAAAAATATAGCATATAAAGACATCAATAATACCAATTGTGTTTGGAGCCCCCTGTTATTATTATTATTATTATTATTATTATTAAGACTTACAGAACAGCGCAATTTAAGAAAAGAAAAAGAGAAGACAATGTTTAACAATGTTCAACAATATTTCGACAATATGTCTGTCTTATTCAAGATATGTTTAATAATTGCATACATGTATAAAAATACGAAAAATCTATAAAAAATCTACAAAAAAATGGCAGCACTTACGAAAGTCGTTGTCTTGAGATAAACGGTTGTAATGGTAATCAACGTCTCAGGATGAATGAAACGTAGTCAGCATGAGGGACATACAAGTGAAATATTGGTGAACATTGTTAAACACTTTTTTCTTAAATCGCGCTCGTGGTGGTCTTGAAAGCATTGGAAGTGTTACGTCAATTATTTTGTTCTTTATTATTATTATTATTATTATTATTATTATTATACGTTTAATCATAAAAAAGGAGAAAATAAATGAATGGGAAAATGAGTTTACTTATTGGTAAACAGTTCTTAACAATTTTTTTTTATTTGTCTTTTGAAAAAAAAAGTTCTTACCTTTGAAGATATATTTTGGACAAATGATTTCATTTGTTTGTTTTTTTTTTCTTTTTTCCTCTTTTTTTAAGACAATTGTGAACATGTTGATCACAATCTTTGGAATCATTAAAAGAACGACTTGTTGGCTATTTTTGCCCACCTTCATATCGGTGTTTGTTGTTTTCTTTTATTTAAAAACATGAACCATTGTAACGACAAAAGAACATGTTTTTTCTAAAGCCACCACGCAGACAAAGTATAGAAAACGCGGGTCGTACTGATTTGCACACCAGCGTTCAAACGTTTTGGGCCAAACGTATAAAATGATTATACACTGTTGATTTTATTAAGAAGTTAGGATTGTTTAGCAGTATGCTTTTATCAGTCGTGTCTGTGAATTGAAAAAAATAAGTTGTAGATATCCGTGTAACAGAAGATATACATCTTTAAACGGCTTCAAGCTGAAAAATGCATGCAAAATTATTGGTTCAAAGAAAAATCTAAGATGATAAAGTCATGATAATATGCAAATTTCTAAGTCGGAATTGATTCCTATTATTAACATGAGTGTAAGGTGCCGTGTCAATTCAATTTTGTTTAATACAATAAAATCGTGGCTAATATCTGGGATGAAACAAAATGAAAGTTGCGACTTTGAAAGGGAAGAAGACTCAACGAGAGACAGCCAAGCGACTCAGAATTTACAGAAGCAGTGTTAAAACCGCCCAAAAAACGTTTGCTATCACTGGAAGTGTTTTAAGTGCAAATAAAACCTGAAGACCACAATTTCAGAATTTTAACTTTTTTTTTAAAATGAACGAAATTTAAAGAGTATTTTTTAATGTCTAATGGAACTGAACATTATTTTTATGTTTAGATGCATTTAAACTGATCAAATTTTATTCCAAAGAACAATAAAATTAAATTTTCTTTGATTAAAAACCTGCTAACATGGAATTACCCAAAAATCATTTGAGGCACATAATGCTTTATGAGTTCAAGAAAGGAAACTCAGCAGTCGAAGCGGCTAGAAACATTCACTCAGTTTATGGAGAGGAATATGTGAATGATAGACATTGCAGAAGATGATTTGAAAAATTCAGAGGTGGAGATTTCACCCTTGAAGATGAAGATCGAACTGGACGTCCAGTTGAGTTTGATGAAAAGCTTCTTGAAGCAACCCTTGAAGAATCACGTCACAAAAGATCGAAGAACTTGGTTGGGAGAAAATTCCTCATCCACCTTATTCTCCCGATCTTGCTCCTTCAGACTACCATTTGTTTCGTAGATTACAGAATCATTTGGAAGAAACAGCTTTTGTAACACAGGAAGAGGTTAAAACTGACATTTGTGAGTTCTTCGAATCAAAGTCAAAAGAAGTTTACAGAATTGGAATTAGTAAGCTTGTTAATAGATGGAAGGAAGTCATAGATAATCAGGGAAAATACATTGTTGATTGAATCTGTAATTAAATGTAACATTTGGTCACTTGTTTTCTTTATTCAACATTCGGACAGAACTTATGGGATGACCTGATAAATATATTGAATTGTTCTTTTTTTAAGTACTTCTAAGAAACAGGACTAGAAGTATTAAAAAAGAAAGAACAAGATGATATATTTACATCGTTCAGACTCTTATCCTCATCTTTATTACCATATTCACGATGTTTCAGTCGTTCTTCGCTCCGGTCTTCTTCAAGTGATATACGCTGGAATTTCAAACCGAGCCCTTTATTTAGTCCGCCGATGTAGATTGTTCTAATTCCACGTGCCATGCATTTTTTTATTTATTTTGATATCTCAGTTTCAGTTAATTTCTTTTAGTAACTCAACTCTCCAAATTCTTTGTTCCCTCTGCTGTGGCCAGGTATTGAACTCTCAACTTTTTGCATTACTTCAATCAACGTTGATAACAGCCGAAACGTCGTGATTATGGCAATAAAGATGATTACAACAGTCCGAACGTTGTAAACACTGTAAATAGTTACAGTACCTTATCTCAGAAATATTGACAGAAGATTATATATCCCAGGAGAGTAAAGTGAGAAACATCTAACTCTGTAGATTAAATAAAGTGTTCAGTTAGAAATTATTTAAAGGCTACTCGAATCGACACGCATATGAAGAAGGCCAGTGAGTCAAATGTTTTGAGAAGAAAGATAAAGACATGAGTTCGAGTGGATTTAAAATAAATCTTATCATTTTTTTGGTCTTAGGATTTTTTTCAAGTAGATTTGCTATTTACTTCCAGAACAATATTTTCAATTTTTATCAGATAAAGCATTATTAAAAGTTTAAAATTTTTACCAGTATTTATTCCATCTTCGTTACCGCTGATTTTTTTTTTTTTTTTTTTTATAACTGCTACTCAACCCGTCAGTCTACGACCATTGATAATCAGTATTAATCTGGAAAAAAAGTAGAAAATCTGGACACGACTTATTTCAGTCTTCAGTTTACAGGATGCAACTGAAATTAGAATAAAAAAGAGAACATCTTCTATGTGATGTGACCCTACAAAACGTTAACGGTCATGGCTCTCCACAATTTCCAGTCATTTGTAGCTCTTAATAAATGCTGTCTTTTAGTTATTTCTACCAAACACTTTTCAGCCAACCATTTACTCAGGCTCACCAGGTAAGTTATGTGCTGTTTTCCTCTACCTCTTGCCTTCAATGTCATGTGAGTGTCAAATTTTCCAAGCCCTCTTTTCTCATTATTTACCCTGGACATTTCAAGTGTCTCTTCCTGATTGTTATGTATCAAAGTCTTTTTAGTCTCTATTTTCCTTAAAACTTCCTTGTTACTCATATGTTCAGTCCATGGTATTCTCATCATCATTTTCTTGAACCACATTTCTGTTGTTTCAAGTCTCTTCTTCATATCCGGTCCATGGTATTATCTCTTTCCGATGTTAACTATAAGTATCCTTCTAGCTGAAACTATAATGTAACCATCCTTCAGCCAAAGATTTATCTTCTGGCTGCTGAACATCCACAAAAGAATGATAGGAAGAAACTTCCAGAACTGACAGAGTAAGCATTTCATCATTTTTTGAATATAAATTTCATAGTTTCCTTAATTTAGATCTATGGGTCCCTTCAGAATATAAGAAATCATGGCTCTCCACAACTTCTTATCCTTTGTTGCTCTTAATAAGGTTTGACTTTTCACCATCACTCCCAGTCCTTGTTCTGTCGACCATTTGTACAAGCTTGTCAGGTGTTTCCTCCTTGTCTTAAATATGCATTGTGAGTGTTGAATTTTCCGATCCCTCTTTCCTCATTATGTATTCGAGAAATTTCAACTGTATCTTTCTGATTTTAAGTATAAGCATTCATTTTATTTCCATTTTCTTTAAAACTTCCTTGTTATTCATAGTCTATGTTATCTCAGCATCTTTCTGTAGAAGCAGATTTCCGTTGTTTTGAGTATCTTCTTCCCCTGTGAGGAGATTCTGCAACATTCACTACTATATAGGCGGACTCATATTACGTAAAAATTCCGTACTTTTTTCTTTAGTTTCTAATTTTCTTGTTTCTTTCGCTTAGCTTTTGAAACGCATAGAAAATTAATAGTAATCAGTTAAAACATTTTTGAGAGGGGGGGGCTTCTAAGTCTTGAACATCCTGACGTTGTATCCACTTCCTTTAGATGAAAGATATTTGTCTTAGTTACAAATTCAGATTACTAATTGTCGATATCGTAGAAGTACTATCCTTCCTCGGTTTCGACTGTTCCTTCATCACATAGGCGATTGTTTGCAGTCTGATCGCTTCCGGTGTGTCCTTAGACGGGTTGCACAAGACCACCTTCAGTTTTGGCAAAATCATGAATAACAAAACAACGAGGGCTTGCACCTGAATAGATATGCAGAAATAAGCGGTCTTTTTTTGTGCCTGCGGTGTCAAAATTGCGATCAGAGTCACGATCCAGACGAGAAAAAGAATAAAGACGGCCGAACTAATCTGGTGAGCCTCGTTGAAGTTCTCCGGTAACTTTCTGACTCTGTAAGCCATATAAACGCTGACAATGGTCAGTGTGCCGAAAATGGACACGGCGACGTAGTTCAGATATTCCCAGTTGTGTCCGCAGTCGATGAATACAGCATCGCTGTCAGAATAATGAAACGTGACCCGCGGCGTGATCATGTATGTCGTAACGCACATGACGCCGAACACGAAAACCCCAACAGCCAAAAGACCAAAAAAATGGCGTCGATCTCGGAGTTTCCGGTCGGTGTGAATATTAACCAAAGAGGTGGGTGGTAACTCGAAGATGACCAAAATGCGGTAGGTTTTGAATAGGATGACCAGCATTAGAGAGGTCAGTACCAGGGTGATATAAGTGGGCTGGATAACGCACATCAGCTGGTTTGGATGACCAATATATACAAAAGGAGATAAGAAGCAAGAGAAAAGAATCCCAAATAGAACGTATGTTAATTTACGGTTGGAGCCTTTGATAACGTAACTATTCCGGAACTTGATGAACAGCGACAAAGCGATTAGGTTCAAAAGGGAAAAGATTCCCGAGGTTGTCAACAAACTAGTCGAAAGAGTTTCGTTCCATGCTAAATAGTTCTGCGGAAGTGGTTCGCAGCTTGTCTGCGCAGGGTTCGAATTCCAACCTAGGCCGAACACTGAAATGCAACTAGTGCATTGTTCCATGTTGGTGATGTTTGAAAAGTGACCTGTTAAAAAAATAGACATATGGCGATTAAAATTTGATCAGTTGGACACAGACATGTTTAGGAAGGAAGAAACAAATTAGGGGATCCAAAAAATATTACAACGGGCTTCAAAATCAATCACACACACACACACATACATATATATATATATATATATATATATATATATATATATATATGAAGAAATATACTTTTAAAGTGTACTATATTTACGGGATAAATTGCTCAATATCAGGGATAGAGCGGGTGTAAATATAAAAAAGTGAACATTGAAGTCAACACTTAGAGGCGACAGGCTGTTTCATGCTAAACGCAATCGTCAGGCCATGATTGCGTCTAGCATGAAACAGCCTGTCACCTCTAAGTGCTAACTGCAATGTTCACTTTTTATATTATATATATATATATATATATATATATATATATATATATATATAACCCGGATATAAGAGAGTTTTGGGACCGGAGAAGAAGTCTCTTATATCCGGGTTTCTCTTATATCCGGGTTTGGTTTATTTTGCTTAGGTAAGTATGGGCTCTAATTTGGGACCAGAGAAAATCTCTCTTATATCCGGGTTTCTCTTATATCCTGGTTACACTGTATATATATATATATATATATATATATATATATATATATATGAAAAAGAAGTTAAAAAGCAATTGGAGTCTTTAAAAACCTTTATTTCGAGTAAATTTACCGGTTTTAATAGGAGTTTCAAAAGTCAAATTGAGATGGAGGGGTGTGTGTCTCATCTCCCTTTTGATTGGAGTTGCAGAATTCTTTACGTTTTATGCAAAAAAAGTGGCCCAGAGTGCTAACTGTTTAAACTGAAATCTGATTGGTTCCTTATGATCACGTGATCGGGCATATCAATTTTTGCACCCAAAATTGATGATTATAAAATTTTATTGTCATAGTTCAGTGACCGTGTCTAATGACAACAAAGTGTTAAGTAGTTCAGGACATCAATGTCCTAAGTAGTTCATGACAACAAAATTTAACTGCATAAAAAATAATTAAATTACTTATCCGGAAAATGAAATTGCAAAATTATTTATATATTTCCGACATCTCTCTCTCTCTCTATATATATATATATATATATATATATATATATATATATATATATATATATATATATTAGAGCTTATATTTTATACCATAAAGAAACAATTTATAGAGAGTTAAATAGCAATATTAATGTCATTAATGGCGAAATCACTTCACTAACAAGACTTAATGAGACACTAACTTATTAACAATTTCGTGAATAATAAGATTTTTAATATTCGAGTTTTTGTCAGATGGAAGACACTCGGCAAGTACTTTCGACGCTTCAAATGCCGCAATTTTCCCATATATAGGCAAACACTAAGACGAAATTAACACTCCTATTTAAGTCTTTGTATAATTTTATCTTTATGACATATATATATATATATATATATATATATATATATATATATCATTCGAAGACAGTACTGTTTCGCTGTATCACAGCTCCTCAGTGCGACTAGACATCCGAATGCCTCAAACCAGGATTAAAACCAAACCGATTTAGTGTCACTTAGAGTTCTGCTACTGAGCCATCTCCATTCGACAGAATGAGCTTGCTAAATCTAGCGTATTGTTTTTACGAATGTAAACAAATGCCAATCAGCCATAAGGCTCGTTTCATTTTACTGAAGAGCTTTGCATTAGCGCAGGTGGCTGAAATATTTTCAAGAGCTTAATTATTTAATTATTATATATCGAGTAATTTAGAATTTTTTAAACCTATGCTGTATTGTCTCATATAAGATAGAAATGTATTTCTTGAAATTACTAAATGTAAAAATATCCAAATAAAATATAAAGTATGAGTAATCGGTTCTTATTATATAATAATGAGATATTCCATAGTTAAAATAAGGTTGAATACGTTCTAGTTTTGTTAATTCCTCTTCTTACCATACAAATGGGATACCTGAGGAAGGTGGTTAAATAGCTATTCTATTTGGCGTGTCCCTTCAGGACGTGGGAGATCAAGGCTCTCCACAATCTCCTATATCTCGTGGCCCTTATCAGCGTTTCGCCAAGCCTCCACAGACCGTTCCGCTATCCATTTACACACGCTTGTCAAGCAGGAGGCCCACTACTTTCCCCTATCTCGTTTGCTCCAAGAACAATATTCCCCAGGTCCAAAATCCACCATATTCCTTGGAATAACATAACACTTGCGATAATTTTTTTTTTATCAGACCTTGCAGTAATTACTTATCTTATTCAATTCTTTTACAAAGTTTACAAGAATTTTTGCAATTTCAATCTTGGCAAGCCATCATATTCATTCAACATTGCTTCATAACGAATATACAGCTAAATAACTATAGCTAAAATAACTAATGTGATTTCATGCATTACTGTAAATCAGTTGGCAAATGTTTTCCGTGAACTGCAAAATCGTATTACCCTTTGTATTGCTAATGATGGAGGACATCTTAAATAAAATTTCAATAAAACCTTAAAAAATATAAATTTACTTCTTTCTAATCCTTTTTACAAATTATTTCTATCGCAAATAGAAATAAAGTTATAATTTTTTAAAGTGCACACGAACTTCATGGACACCCTGTATTTTTTATTATGTAAGTTTTATTTTTGTTTTCTTTAATTATTTCAGGCCAAGCAAGGCAATAAAGCCACTAAAACGCAAGTTGTTACTAAGTGTTAGAGAATATCTCTATTAAGGAGAGAGAAGAATAAAAGAACAAGAATTAAGAAGACTGAATATAATGATTGACATTACATTTAAATTTTTGAAGATCAAGGCCGGAAGTTAGGTCAACAAATGAGAAGACACTGTTAACATAGAACTTACGGCTACATCTAATCATTTCAACTGGAAAATGATGGGAACTTGCCAATAATCTTTTACTGCACTTCTTTGGTTTTTATCAAGAATCTCTGTTATATAACTGTGGCTCTGGACCGGATGTGGCAGTAATATTCTAAGCAAGAACTAAAAGTAGACTTATAAATATGTAAGATAAATTCTTGCGAGAAAAATTGCCAAGCACGTTACAGTGAACCATCTTCCCTCGAAGCAAATCTAATAATTGATTCAATATAATTTTTTCACTTCTGTCAGCGAAAAAGCTTAGTCCGAGAAAGCACAATGAGTCATCCTCATGAAGGTTAGCAACAGCCATATTGATAGAAGGTAAATAAGCGACTCTCAGACGGTTAAAAGATAGCAGTTTCGTTTTTGGAGGATTTAAAATTAGCAAAGCATTTCTTGCCACAGTTAACAATATAATGGGTTTCTAAATCGATTTATGCATCCCTGAAGAAGTTTAGAATGAGAAAGGAGGAAATACATAAAATATCTCAAATCGGACATTTTCATATTATGATGGACATTTTTTCGAAATCTTTTAGATGAATTATTAATAAACAGCAGCTTATTTGTATCGGCATATTTCTTGCTTGTTATAATCTCACGCTTTGTGTTTCAAACACTAATCCCTATTCGGTTATTAAAAATGTTCAAAAAAAATTCACAACGGAAGTTAATAGTGTGCTTCCTATATCAAATCTCAGTGTTTATTTGAGGGATAGCCGATGAGTCTGTTATTAAAAACACCCGTCTCCATTCAGGAAACATCTGGAATTTCGTAACCGATAAGTCAGTGTTACTCTGGTTGAAATTTCAAAAGTCATTTTTTTCACATTATTTACATTATTCGGACTACTGTTCTCATATTTGTCGCTATATTTATTACAACGTTTCGGCCGTTGTATGCTCCGGCCTTCTTCAGGTGGTTGGAATGTCGAATTGAACCCTTTACTTCGCTCAGTGCGGTAGACTGTTCTAGTTCCACGTGCCATGTTTAATGGATGTCAGTTATCAGTTATCTCCTGTTAATTTCCCTCTGAAAGTTCTCCATTGCCTTAACCGGGTATTGAACTCACACTCTTTGGGTCCTGTCACTGGATCTAACCAACGCCTTTATCCACTGTGCCATTTTTCCTCCTGTGTATGAATTTCTGGGTATTATAAACATAATGTCTCTCAAACATTTTTACCAGTGCAATTTTTTGCTGTTATCATTGCATTTTTTTTTACCAGAGCTCATATTTGTGGAACAATCACGTGGTCAAGATAAACACTCAGTTGTAGAGCAAGCTGAGTGAATCATAACTAAACCTTAAGAGAGTTATTTATGGTGCCATGGAGCATCTCATTGTACTAAAGTGGGATAGTCCATTGATTGGGCTGTGATTGGCTGCTGGTACATGAGTGTAGGTATTTCTGTATAAATACCAGCTTGATTCATCAGTTAGTTTGCAGGGTTTGTATTGAGTACAACCTGCTTTATTTTTGTCTGCCAGCTGGACGCTAGCTGGGACCCCTACGCCGGTAAGTGCTGTTTATTGTATTGTTATTCTAAAATATTGCAACTTTTGTTGTTTTTATTGCTTTTCTCTGGCACTCCTTATTACTGGTTCCCATATTGTATTCATTTCTATGCTTGGTCGGCTCAGGAGATTTTTGTGGCCTAGCATATGTGATGATTCCTTAAGTTTACGTATTTTCCAATGGTGTTCCTTGCCTATAATCTCAGCCTGATCCCACAGAG